CTGCTTGAAGTTCTACCCATTCTAAAGACTTCCCTTTGCTAGTGTCTTTCAGGGCTGTCCCACAAAGAGGTTGTAATGCTGCAGCTGTCCAGGTCTAGGTGGTGCCTGTATAACGTCCAGAACCATCAGTAAACCAAGCTCTAGTCTTCTTTTCCTGTCAACCAATAACAGGACATATCTGTAGCTATGAGCTTTTTTACCTGGCTTTTTTGTTCCTGAAATAATGACTCTGAGATTTGATTATTTATGAATAAATGCCTAGGCCATAAGCTTTGACTTGTTCCCCGACTAGCTTGTAACTTATATAACTCATTTATTCTAGTCTATGTCTACCACATAGCTAGTTGCCCTTCCTCAATTTCATTTGTCTGGCTCCTCTGAGTCTGAGGCAAAATCTCCCACTCTCGACTCTTTCCCAGAATTCCCATCTCTTTCTGCCAGATGCCCCACCTTCTAATCCCACTTCAGCTCATTGGCCATCAGCTTTGTATTGACAGATGATGGTTCTACACAGTGCACAGAGAGTGCACAGTGTGCAGTCTCTCTGCACATACCCTGTAAGGCTATAGGTGCAGGCTTGAATGCACTTGGCAGCATTGTAATGGAAGTGGAAACCGTAGGCCTTTGGATAAATTCTTGCTTGTGCATTCAGGACCTACTTGGGTCCAATCATGCATATACTACTTCTATTTGATAATGGATTGCGGCCGTGCACATTCTACTTCATGACTTGGTGGATTAAATTAATACTCAGCTCATGATGAGCAGCTCAGGTCACATGGTAGCATGGTGGCCCATTGTCAAATGTTCAGTTTTCACTTGGGTCCAATAGCAGGCCAAGAGCTGTCTTTCAAAGGGAGAATAGTTGTCTGCAGATGATGGTAGAGCCTTGCTCCAAAATCCCAAAGGTCTCTTCTTGTGATTCACTATAGGGACCTTTCAAAGGCTCCGAACAGAATCCCTCTCTGTCAGTGACTCCTCAAGTACTATCGGGTCTGCTGGATCATATGGTCCAAGTAGTAAAGCAGACTCCACAGCAGCCTGAACATGTTGAAGAGCCTTCTCCTTTTCCAGGCCCCACTCAAAGCTGGCAGCTTTCCAAAGCACTTGATATATTGGCTGGAGTAACACCCAAGTGAGGAACATGTTGTCTTCAGAATCCAAACAGGCCCTCTAAACATGTTCCCCGCCCTACCCTTGGTAGTAGGAAGAACCAGGTATAATAACCTATCTTTGGAAGGAATATCTCTGTATGCCCCATACCACTGAACTCCCAAGGATTTCACTGGGATAGAAGGCCTTTGAATTTTGGTTGGATTTATTTTCTATCCTCTGATGCATCTGTGTGTTACCAACAAGTCCAAAGTGGTTGCTACTGCCTGCTCACTTGGTTTATTCAGCATAATGTCAGCACCAATATGATAGTAGTCAGTAGACCAATGTGATATTTTATGGAAGATACAGGCCATCAAGATCCTTTCTGAGATACAACATAGGGCTGAAAAGTTATTAAAATTTTTGCAGTAAAACTGTAAAGGTATACTGCTGGCCTTGCCAACCAAAAACAAATTACTTTTGGTGGTCCTTATGGACAGTACTGAGAAAAAGGCATTTGCTAGATCAATAGCTGCATACCATGTACCAGGAATTGTTAATTCGTTTAGGTAAGGACACCACATCTGGCACACTGGCTGCAACTGGAGTCACTACTTGGTTCAGTTTTTGATCGTCAGCTCTCGTTCTCTGTGATCTGTGTGTCTTCTGAACTGGCCAGATAGGAGGGTTAAAGAGAGATGTGCTGAGAACCACCACCCCTGCATCTTTCAAGTCCTTGATGGTGGCGCTAATTTCTACAGTTCCTCCAGGGATATGATACTGCATTTAATTCACTATTTTCCCTGGTAGAGGCAACTCTAAAGGCTTCCATTTAGCCTTTCAAACCATAGTAGACCACTCCATAGGTCAGGGAATCAATATGAGAATTCTGTCAACTTCTAAGTATATCTGTCCCAGTTATACATTCTGGAACTGAGGAAACAACCACAGGATGAGTTTGGGGACCCACTGAACCTACTGTGAGTTGGACTTCAGCCAAAACTCTATGAATTACATGGCCCCCATAAACATCTACTTTAACTGGAGGTCCAGATGTTTCTTAGGGTCCCCCAGAATCAGCATCAGTTCAGAACCAGTACCTAATAGACCCCAGAATATCTGATTGTTTCCCTTCCCCCGATGTATAGTATTGCCCTGTTGTAGTAATTATTTAAGCTAGGCCTCTGGTCAAGCCGACTATCTAAGCTGCAGCGTCTCTGCCTAGCCCAGCCGCTATATTTCTTGGCCTGAGGCCACATGCGCAATGCAGCTAGAACCAGCTCGCCAGAAACACCAGCCCTGCCACCCACTAGATGCCAGCGTGAGAGATGGCTCTGCCAATCTTCCATGCTGTCTCCACAAGGCAGGGCATTGTCCAGACCATTCCGCCATCCATGTGGGCCCAATAAGAGAATGAGACTCTAATTCTTATAGATTAATCAAAGGCTTTATATGTTTGATAATGATTAATAACAAGATGCCCATACAAAGAGAGATGTATCCCAATTAGCTAACCTAATTATAAGTTTATAAGTCGTTCCTCACAAGTGCTCTCCATGCCTGTGTGGTTCTCCATCCTCCTATATCTCTGCCCTCTCTAGCTCCTCCTCTTCCTTTTTTCTCTTCCTCTCCCAACTCCTCCTCTTCCTCCCTTTACTCCTCCCACCTTAGCTCCTCCTACATTACCCCTTTAAAAGACTGTGTGTCCCTCTGAGAAAGGACTGGAGAAAGGTTAACAGTAAAACTCATAGGATTTTATCAAGGTCCTTCCTCAGGGGAACCTGGTTGTGCTTTCATTTGAGGGATTCTGGGTCTCAAAATGGCTCAAGTCTAGAAATTGGTTCACAGGCCAAGATTCTCTTTTGCTACCATCCTTTTGTTTGAGAATTTTTCCACTTATACAGATCAAACAAAAAAAAATGCAGTAGCCTTCTTATCTATTTCATGCCTGGAAACATCATGCTTGATTAGCCAATACCAAAAGTCCATTGAGTCATGCTACCATAAAAGTAACTTTGCCTGTGCTGTGCTTATGGGTTAGGCCATGCTGGACAGTGCTTTGTCTATGCTGCCCATTTAGCAATTCAATGCTGCCACAGGGCTCCTGCTATTTGGAGCCCAAATAAATTTACTGCATTTAATTCAACCAACTAAGCAGCAGCAGCTCCAACCCGAAGGTCTGACACGTGGAAAAGGGCAACAATAAAGCTTTTCTGGTGTGCTGGTGCCCATCTTATGGAATTAGTAAAGGGCATGCCTTTCTGGCCTTTCCATTGTGGACTATCAGGTTTTACACAGCATCCCCACTTTAGCATTGTAGTTTCCCTATGCCATAAATCCCCTCATCAACATTAAGCAAAGATATCAGGTATCTCCAGCTCCTTTTCAGTAGGTCATCTCTGGAGAAATATTTCTGCCAATCATTCAAGCAAAATCTTTGATGTCTGTACAAGCTTACATATTAAAATTAGACTGTGCATTCAGAGGGCCTATATCAATAAACTCAGCCTGATTCGGTGTTATGTTCCTTACTCCATTATCCCACATCCTTGAAATCTATTCCCACACATATTCCCCAGGCTCCTGCTTGGATGAATTAGCAAACTCATTGAGCTCTTTAATAGTATTGCATACCTCTTCATGGACTACACTTTCTTTCTTTTCTTTTCTTTTCTTTTCTTTTCTTCTCTTTTCTTTTCTTTTTACTTTTTTCCTTTCTAGGCAAGGTATCTCTATGTAGCTTTGGCTATTCTGGAACTCACTCTGTAGATTAGGCTGGCCTTGAATTTACAGAGCTCCTCCTGCTTCTGCCTCTCATGTGCTGGGATTAAAGGCTTGTATCACCATGCCCAGCTATATAATTTTGACCACCCCTCTAGGAGCCTGCATAGCCTTGAGTCTGGTTGTGGATCTAGAGGCAACTATTGGTGGGTCATTAGGGTCATTAGGAATGCCTGGCATTTTCTTCAGGGAAAGTTACTGCTGATAGAGCAGACAGTAAAGGATTTATTTCCTCAGTCAACGGTGGAAAAAGCAATATTTCAGGGGGAGGGGGTAAGAGTACATCCTCTGCTGCAGGTGGAGAGGCCACTTCCTTGGGTGAGATTAAACTCTTGGGGATCTGTGGGTTCAAAGTTTTGTTTCAGTGAGGTTCTTCCACATGTGACCATCTCAAATGATAGTACCCCATTCCTTAACCAGTAAGTTCAACTGGTTGAACCTACCTCTTAGCTCCTGCGTGATGACTCTCTTATCCTCCATTTCTTCTCCTCTAGAAGGGAAACAGAGACACACCATAAGAAAGCTCTTAGTTAAACTTAGAAAACTTAGCTCTTAGTTCAACTGTTGATACCTGCCAAGCTAGGACCTGAATTTTTGCTGTAATTCAGCCAACTTCATAATGAAGGCTTTTGTTTGATTTTCCACAAGTGAGTTCTGTGACTCCTGGGAAGAAAATTCACTCACAACTTTAATCCAGAACTTGGGAGGCAGAGACAAGAAGGATCTATTGAGTTTGAGGCCAGCCTGGTCTAGAGTGAGATCCAGGATGGCCAGGGCTACACAGACAAACCCTGTCTCAAAAAAACAAACAAAAACTTATTTTTAAAAATTAGAGAAGTCCTGTCTCAAGAAAACATATATTGTGTGTATTTATTTTATAATTTATTAACTATATATAGTCTAATATACATACATACATATAACCTAAAAAATTTTAAACCAGTACAGCAGAAATATAAGATCTTTCAAGTTTTACAGAGAAGACTTTGGGGGGCAACCTTGTACCAATTCTGAAACCACTCTTTGTAAGGTGAGCACTGGGTCAACCACAGACTGTAATATATCTTGTTTCAGATACTAGACAGGGCTTACTTTCTTATGGTATGTCTCTGTTTCCCTTCTAGAGGAGAAGAAATAGAGGATAAAGGAGTCATCATCCAGGAGCTGGAGGTAGGAAAAAAATGAAGCAACTTCTGAAGAAATTATTTACTCCTGAAGTCAAGGATGAATGCACACCCAGCCCTTTTTGTTGTTGGTGGTGGTTGTTTTGTTGAGATAGGGTTTCTGTGTAGCTCTGGCTCTCCTGGAACTCATTCTGTAGACCAGACTTGTCTTGAACTCAGAGATCCACCTGCCTCTGAATGATAGGTTTAAAGGTGTGTGCCACTGCTGCCCAGCTTCATACCCAGACTTCTGTTACCTCCTACAAACTGAGTCACAAACTCCACCTGATAAATTGGTATCTCCATGCAAAGAAGCCATAATTTTTCCAGGAAATTAAAGCCCATATCCTTTCTCAGTTCTTACTAAAGTATGAGTCCTTTGAGACTGGTTGTTGTTTGTTTCCACTGGGGTTCCTAGACAGGGCAGCTCTGTTGTGGTAGTTGGCACAAAGAAACTTCCGGAGGACTGCTGCCTTCCAGGGCTCTAGGAATGCCACTACCCCAACCACCGCCTGGTGTTTGACGTTCAGGAAACTGGGAAGTGAATACACTGACAAGTGTCTGTGTCTTCATTCTAATTGGAAACACTTGCCATCACTTTGTTCCAAGTTCATGTTCGTTCTTTTTCTACACAGCTCTGCTTGTTAGAGATTTCCAGAAAGAAGGCTGAGCAGGGATAGAGCTTTGTAAACTGGTGAAAGCATTGGACCAGCAGTTAGAATTCTGGGGGCCTGGCCCTGTGTTCCAGTCTGTTCTTCCACCTGTCAAATTAGGTTAATCTGTTTCCAAGATTATGGTATGGATTTCAAAGAGATGTGTCCAATACTGGACACACGATAGGTTAGAAAGCATTTGCGTACACTTATGTGCATACTGAACTTTGCAAACTGCTTTTTTGTTTGTTTGGCTTGATTTTAATTTATTTTGGACATGGGTGTCTCACTATATATTCCTGCATGGCCTGGAACTTGTGTAGACAAGTCTGCCTTTGAACTTTCAGAGATCCTTCTGCCTCTGCCACCCAAGTACATGGATTACAGGTTTGAGCCTCCTCTATTGGTCCTTTGTGTACATTTGTGTGTGAGAGAGTGTATGCGTGTTTCATTTTTGCAATGAGTTCTTGTATCCTAGGGTGGCGTGTATAGCTGAGGATGTCCTTGGATTTCTGATCCTTCTGGCTGTAATTATAGGTATATATCATCACACACACACACACACACACACACACACACACACACACACATCTGGTTTATATAGTGCTGGGATTGAACCCAGGACTTCATGCATACTCAGTAATGACTCTGCCATCCAAGTTGCATCTCTCAATCTTTTGTTTGTTTGGTTTTGTTTTGTTTTTGTTGTTTGTTGTTTTGAGACAGAATTTCTTTGTGTGTAGCCCCGGCTGCCCTGGAACTCACTCTGTAGACTAGGCTGGCCACGAATTCACAGAAATCCACCCACCTCAGCCTCTCAAGTGCTGAGATTAAAGGCAGGTTCCACTACTGCCCAGCTCTCAATTCTTTTTTCTTTTTGTTTATTTATTTTATGTGTATGGGTACTTTGCCTGCATCTCTATTTAACTATCTATCTATCTATCTGTCTGTCTATCTATCTATCTATCTATCTATCTATCTATCTATCTATGTACCACATGTGTGTCAGATGTCTAAAAAGGCCAAAAAGAGGGTATCGAATCCTTTGGGATTAGTTAGTTGTAAGGTGTTGGGAATTGAACTCTGATCCTCTGGAAAAGCAGTCAGTGCTCTGAACCATCTCTCCAACCCCTTTTCTCGGTTTTTGAGACAGGCTCTTATTTGGTAGTAACCCTTGCTAGATTGTTGCTCATCCTGAAGCCCAGACACACCTGGAAATGATGGCAATCCTCCTGCTTCAGCTTTCCAAGTGCTGGGATCATATCTGGCTCTAAAGTATTTTTTTAAAAAAGTTTTTTGAGACAAGATCTCACTATGAACCTCAGGCTATCCCTGAATTCATAATCCTCCTGCCTTAGCCTCCCAAGTGTGATTACAAGCATGTGCTACCATACGTAGCAGTAAAATACTTTCTATGTTTTCTTTCATTTTTACAAATTTTATTTATTCATTTTATATGTGTAGATGTTTTGCCTGCATGCATGTCTGTGTACCAACCATGTGCCAAGTGCTTGAGGAAACCAGAAGAGGGTGTTGGATCCTTGGAACTGGAGTTACAGGTTATGAGCAGCCATGTGAGTGCTGAGGTCAAATCAGAGTCCTCTAGAAGAGCAGCCTTTGCCACTGAGCCATCTCTAGTGAGAATTCTGGAATCTTGGTTTCTTTTCTCTCTCTCTCTCTCTCTCTCTCTCTCTCTCTCTCTCTCTCTCTCTCTCTCTCTTTGGTTTTAGAGACGGGGTTTCTCTATGTAGCTCTGTGTAGCCCTGGCTGTCCTGGAACTCACTCTGTAGACCAGGCTGGCCTCAAACTCAGAAATCCACCTGCCTCTGCCTCCCAAGTGCTGGGATTAAAGGCGTGTGCCACCACCGCCTGGCTGAAAGCACATTTTTATAATATTTCTTTTTCTTTTAAAGAAATCAAGAGCCGCCGGGCGGTGGTAGCGCACGCCTTTAATCCCAGCACTTGGGA